AGACATTTCTTTTCAGTGACAGTATAATTTTGTTCAGCAGAAGTTAAAACATGACTAGTATAAGCAATAACATGTTCTTTATTTTCAGAATCCTTTTGAGCTAAAACAGCTTCAACAGCAAAATCAGAAGTATCAATATGAAGAATAAAAGGTTTTGTAAAATCTGAGTATATAACAATAGGTTTAAAGGTAAGACAATTTCGAAAAAATTCAAAAGCATTTTGATATTCCTCTGTCTAGCAGAAGTCAATATCTAATTTAGTTAAATTAAAAAGAGACCTTGCAATATGTGAAAAATTATGAATAAAGCGATGATAATATGAGGCAAGACTAAGAAAAGAGTGAACTTCCTTTTGAGAGTTAGGAGTTTTGCATAGCCTAATCTTTTGAACTAGAACTAGATTTGGTTCAATTCCTTTATCTGATACCAAATGTCCAAGAAATAAGTTTTGTTTCTTAAAGAAATCACATTTTTCAGGATTTAGTTTTGATCCTGCTTTGGTGAAAAGTTCAAAAACCTTTTCTAAATAAGAGCAATGATCTTTATGTGATTTTGAATAAATGATTATATCATCCATATAAACAAGAACAAACTTTCAAGATACATCATAAAACATTTTATCCATCAAACGTTGAAAGGTTGCAGGTGCATTCTTACTATAAACTCATATGTATCAAACTTAGTACTAAAGGCAGTTTTCTCTTAGTCAACAGGTTCCATTCCTATTTGCCAGAATCTGGAGGTGAAATCAAGAGTTGAAAAGTATTGACTATGAGCCAAAGCATCAATCATATCAGCAATACAAGGTAGGGAGTATGTATCTGACTTAGTTACTTTATTCAATTGACAATAGTCAATTACAAGTCTAAACTTTCTATTAGCCTTGCCAACAACTAATACAGAAGAGGTCCAAGGACTATAAGAAACTTTAATGAGCCCTTGTTGAAGTAATCTGTTCAACTCTTCCTTGATAAATTTTTCACATATTGCAAGGTCTCTTTTTAAT